GGGCTTTGAGAGGCAGCAGCTCCAGCGGGGGAGCTGCAGAAACCCGGCTCTGCATGGCCCCCCTCACCCACCGCCTCTTATCCCTGCTCTATATTTTCCGTTTGCTCAATTGGAAATACATCTTTAAGCTGGATGCTAGCACCTGTGTTTGTCCTTAGCATTAAAAAGTGGGGTTTATCTTTTTACGCACGCTTTCTCTGTAGAGATGCACGTAATCCCACAGTTATTTCCCCTCAGGCATGGCGTCCATCAAGATCGAGTGCGTGGCCAAGGAGAACTGCAAGATCGGGGAATCCCCGGTGTGGGATGCGAAGGAGAACTCGCTGCTCTACGTGGACATCACCGGAAGGAAGGTTTGCAAGTGGAGCTCCCTCACCCAGCAGGTGCAAGCGATTCCTGTGGGTAAGAAACTGCTAAAGAACAAACATCCCACTGAAACGACGGGTTGAGCAGCCTGAGTTTGTACCCCGTTCCTGTAGTGTAGGGACAGGACTCGCACGCTTGCTGCAATTGCATCCAGTAAAAGGTGTTTAATGGACATCTTGCGGTGGGAGGAGACCATCCCTGCAAACCCGTCCCCTCTGGGCTGGGGAGGACACTGCAGCCCGGTGCATGGAGACTAAGCATGGGGACTCTGTCCTCAGGGCTTTTCTTATCCCTAATGCTATTTGGTGGCACTTGTCCCGTGCTCCCTGCGTGTCCCCTGCCTTGCTTGCAGCCCTCTGTCCTTTTCTCGCTCTTTACCCCAGAGGTTAAGGTTCCCCAGTGCATTCACTCCCCATCACTGATGTCTATGGGAGTTTTCTTATGGATTGCAATGAAGAATTGCCCATATCTTTTTCTTCAATACAATTTTGGGTGAGGATTTTACCTCACTAAGCAGGTGGTATTTTTTTTTAAGGTAACAGAGCCGTCAGTTCCAGTCTGAATAATTCAGGAGTTTATTCCAGAAAGGAAGGCTTGTATGTTAATCCTCATAAGGAAGGAGTTGCAGACAACCTTCTGAATGTAATGCCATGAGTGTTTATTTGTGTCTCATTAACTACATCTTCTTAAATGCTTTATATAAATAATCAGGTTTTGGTAATTTCTCATGTTTAATAAAACCTGGTGAAAATTGCTTGCTCTTGCACATACATAAGCTGTTCATGTTCACGTTAGCCACAATAAGCTGATTTGGATGTCTCTGCACTGAAGCAAAGTCACTTTTTAAATGAAAGAGGGCCTGATGCAAATTTTGGGAACGTGGCTTCCCAAACTTGTTTCTTCTTGCTTGGCTGGAAGACTGTGCTTCCTCTTCCCACCACGTTCTCCCCTTCCTGCAGCTTGGAGGAAGGTCAAGGTGCAATCTCCTCCGTGCAGTTTCTCTGGAGACATGGAGGGGATAGTAGCTGAAGTAGCTGCTCTTTGTTTTTTCTTTCCGGTATCCCCGTTGAGTAACAAAAAGGTCTTAATTAATGGCTCTACCTTGGGAATACCACGATTAAAGCAAAAGCAAAAACACCCAAGGGGTGCCCTGTGATTCCGCCCAGCTGCTGCCAGGGCTGCAAAGCGGCGGCGCAAGGTGGGAGCAGACGGCCGGGAAGGGGCAGCTCCCACTGGGCGGCCGCACCGGCGCCTGGCGGCGAGAGCTGCTCTGAGTACCAGAAATGTTTTAGTTCTAGTTTAAATGCTGGTACCTGGGCTCGTGCGTATTCCTAATTCCTGTCTGTTAAACCCTATCTCAGGTTTTGTTGCCGTGTTTAAAGCTATTGTTGCATATATAGCGTGTAGGTAGTACAGAAATGTTGTCTTCGCAATCATTTTTCTCTCTCTATTTTATCTTTCTTTTTTAAAAACTAATTCCTTTTTAATAACCTATAATTGAAACATACCTGTATAATAGCTCAAATGAGTAATCGTGAAGCATTTACTAATTTTCTGCTGTGCTTGAACTCCTGTGGAAGGCCCTGCCACTCCTTAGTACGTGCTTTGCTCACCCTTTTTGTGTGTTTCGCTGCTGCCAGGGGCATCCCCCGACTGCAGAGCAGCCAAGTGCCGGGCTCAGCTCGGGGGTGGCTGCACCATGCAGCGCAGCCCATCTCGGTGCTGGGATCTCTCGCTCGGTCCATGAGTTGGCACCGAGCAGCCGTGCAGGGCTGAGCTATTGAGGGGCTACCCTAGCGATACAGAACAGCTCCAGGACTCTTGTGGCCATCGGTTTTCCCTGGGAGGGGGTTGGTCCTGCACAGCATCCTGCTCTATGGCACCTAGCAGAACTGGGTGCAGATAACGAGTATGGCTCCTGGAAGCTGTGGTAGTCGTCAGGAACCTTGAGCTTTTGTGTCCCGAACTGGTAATTCTCTTCATGGACACGTTTATTTTCATGAAGTATGACCATTTCAAGGTGATGTGCGAGGCTGAGGTGCAAGGTCAGTTTATACCGACTTGGACATCGGTTCTCTTGCTGCAGAGTAGGTTGTTTCTCATGCGTGTGCTCCCGCTGTGTTCAGTGTTGGCCTGCTGGCCCACTGAAAGCCAGCAGCAGGTAGGCAGAAAAGAAACGTATTGTCATAGCACGTGCGTCTCTTCGACGTATTTCCATTTTGTCCTGTTCCTAGATGCTCCTGTGAGCTCCTTGGCTCTCCGGAAATCTGGGGATTATGTCATCACCCTGGGAACCCGGTTTGCTTCTTTGAAATGGAAAGACCAGGTGGTAACCACCATCGCTCACGTTGACAAGGACAAACCCAACAACCGATTCAACGATGGGAAAGTGGACCCTGCAGGAAGGTATTTTGCAGGTATGGTGGATGCGGTGCCTTTCTCAATCCTGATCAGTGCTTGCCCTGCTTCTCCCATGAGCTTTTACAGCCAGCATGCAGTGATCAGTGTCAGATAGAGCATTTGCTCCTGTTTAAGTGCTGGGGACCTTCTTGTCTTCAAGCAGAAGTTAAATCTGGTTGTAAATTTATATAAATCACACATCACTATCTTATTAGCACTAAAAGGAAACCTGTTATTCAGAGCTTGCCTAGTTTAATACACTGTTCTGTCTCCTCCCTGTTGGCACGTTTGTTTCAAATACAGGCCAAGCGCCAGGAGAAATATTTCTCCTGTAAGAAATTCGTGGTATCATGCTTTTTTGTTCCTCATAAATAAAAATTTATAAATGATGTTTCTAAACACAACGTAATGTTGAGCCTTGAGAAAGTTCAGGGATGATCTTGTCAGTGTGTATAAATATACACAAGGGGTGAAGAAGATCAAGCCAGTGTTCTCTCAGAGATGCCCAGGGACGGGACAGGAGGAGTGAACACAAACTTCAAACGTGGAAACTTTTTTTTCAGTTGGAACACGAGACTGAGTTGGCCAGTGAGCCCGTGTAGCCTCCATCCTTGGAGGGGCTCAGACTCATGCGTGGCCCTGAGTATCGTGGCGGGCACCAGAGGTACCTTCCAGGCTCAGCTTTCAGTTGGAACACGAGACTGAGTTGGCCAGTAAGCCTGTGTAGCCTCCATCCTTGAAGGGGCTCAGACTCACGCGTGGCCCTGAGTATCCTGGTGGGCACCAGAGGTGCCTTCCAGCCTCAGTGAGCCCTTGTTTCTGCCCTCCTAGTTTGAAAATCCCCATTTTGTGCTTCGGTCCCATGTTGAGGTTCCCAGGCTCCCTGGTGCCTCCCAAGAGCCAGCTCAAACAGACAACCCCCGACTCACCACGATGAGATTTGCCTTCAAAAAGGCTTTTTGTAAGAGGGGATGATGAAGCATTTTGTGATGGCACTGCTATACAGAAGACACGTTGGAAGGGGCATTTTGATCACACCTTTCTTAGTGCTTGACGTGACTGAGCCGGCTCTGCTATTGAATTCACTGTCAGCACTTTTTCTACCATGCTCCAACAAAAAACAGAGACTCTTTTCCTTTGTCATCCTCTGCTAAAAGCAAGTGCTTTGGAAATTTACCTTCCTTGATTTCAACTCAGCTCTCCCCTGAGCTTTTGAAGGCCCCCACGTGAGCTCCCTCTCGCATTGGCAGCAATGAGCATGGCCATGGCAGGGGGCTGCCCACCCGAGATGGGGAGAACCTGTTCACCCTAAACCTGCTTTTTCCCTCTTGGCTCTGCCCCCAGGTACGATGGCTGAGGAGATTCGACCTGCTGTGCTGGAAAGACACCAGGGCTCTCTGTACACGCTCCATGCTGACCACTCGGTGGTGAAGCACTTCGATCGTGTGGACATCTCTAACGGGCTGGACTGGTCCCTGGATCACAAAACCTTCTTCTATATTGACAGCTTGTCCTACTCTGTGGACGCCTTTGATTATGACCTCCAAACTGGAAAAATCGGTATGAATCTTTGGATTTTAAGATGATTCTTTTTTGCTGAAGTATTGTGATGTTTGTTTTCATTTCAGTTACTATACAGAACATGAGTTATGATCTGTGGTCTCGGATAACTTCTTCAGAACCCGCCTTGAAATAAAACAGCAGAAACCGTATTAGAATTAATCTGTGCCTGCCTGGGCTCCTGGTTCAAACTAGTCAGAGGCTGCTGGCCATATTATAAAGCATTTAAAATGCATGTTGGAGTTTGAGTGGTAATCTGGAATACTGTAGCTGAACACAACGCCTATCTGATCTGCCCATGTGAAAAGGGCAAAGTGTTTCTGCGTGGTTAGATTTCTGTGGCTGCATGTTCCTTATGACTGACAGAGTAGGCAAGTAACAGGAACAGCTTGTAATCTCTCTTACAAAACCGCTGCTGGGCTTCTTTAGTGGGTTTTTTTTTTTCCACTCTATTTTGTTTTCTAAAATAAAAGCTCTTACATGAACAGCAGACAGTGCTGAGCAACAGCTGGAAAACAGCAATTCAGAACTCTTCCTTCATTTATTTAAAACAACAACAAAAAAACCTTAAGGGCTTCTGCATGTTTGGGCAAAAGAAAAATTTCAGCAGCTTGGACTAATAATTTGCTTTTAAGTACATGTACAGCAGCATTTTGCTTTGAAAGAACCCTGCCAATTTGAAATCAAGTTAGTTTTAAAATTCTACATTTAAAGTTGTTTTGCATCTTGCATCAAAGTCTCTCTGCCATGATTACGGTTTGCATTTGAATTTTTCTTTAGGAAACAGGATTTCTTTTTCTCCCTCTCTACCCCTCTTTTCTTTTTCCGTGGGCAATCTGGCAATCCCCAGGAGCACGAAGGAAACTCATTAAAAATCTTTCTACACATGAGAAACACTGAAGCTGTCAGAGCATAAAGTAAACACTGTTGAAAAGTTGGATTTAATCTTTCTTAATAACAGCGGATAAAAGTTCAGATCGAAATGTTTGTTTTTAAGTTGACAGTATGCCTTTGAAGCCAGTGCTTTTCCTAACTCTGTGTTTATATGAACTCCTGGTGTATGTAGCTGGAGGTCAGTTTTGTGTTGCACAGTGGTTTTTGGCTTGTTCCAGCCATCTGGCTGAACAGTCTCTATTTCTTTGTTGAACTGAAACACACACGTACTTGAAATGGTCCAAACTGCTTTCGTAAAAATAGTTAATGTTCTAAATATCTGTACAATTATTTTATTCAGTTGTTCATTTAATTTGTGAGTAATACACTGGGAAAGAGCACCAAGAATAAGCACTACGCTTTCACTGGATAGAAACCTATCCACAGGTTTTCATGCTGAGAAACCACTGTCTTGGGAAACAAATGGGGCAGCAGAGATGATCCTGCTATTTCTTTCATCTGAAAGTACTTAGAGCTTCAGCACAGCTTTTGAAAATAACAGTAAGAATAACTCAGGTGGCTTGTAGCTAATGAAAATTTTAACAAATATCTCGATTTTGCTGTCTTTTTTTTTATTATTATTATTTCCCACCCTGCAGGCAACCGTAGGAGCATGTACAAACTGGAAAAGGAGGAGAGCATTCCTGATGGGATGTGCATTGATACTGAGGGCAAACTTTGGGTAGCCTGTTACGATGGAGGGAGAGTGATTCGTCTTGATCCTGAAACAGGTGAGTCCTTGGAAAGGATCGACTGGAATTCTGCATCTGAAAAAACAAAAGAAGCAAAAATGCAGATGAGAGCCTTTTCTCCCCCCTCAACACAAAGATGGTATGTCTGTTCTTTTTAAACCGTTACTTTTTTGTGATATTGTTGTTCACATTATTAAGTCCTATCCTAGTTTACTAGTCTTAAGAATTAGCTTTGTGAAGACGTCCCCTTTGCCGTCAGCCTCTGCTCTGTTGGAACAGGCAAGGCTGCTGAGGGGCTTACCGTTATTCTTGTGAGCTGTTGGAGCTAGCAGCCTCTTGCAGCTTGAAAATTCAAGATCATTGGTTAAAAAAATTGATTAACCATGAAATGGCAAAGCCGACTTGCGCCTTTTTTGTTTATCGTTGTTGTTTATTTAGCATGTTGTAATGTTTCGGGCAGTATACCAACGTGAAGGTGAGCTCAGCATAACACTGATGCCAGTGATACTTTTTTTTTATTGTTGAAAACTATTTACTCCTTTTTTTGTTTCAGCTGAAATCATAGAAAGTATTTAATGAATCCCACAGCATTTTACCCTTCCCGAATGTTCTGTGCGTGTCTGTCACGCTGCTGCTCGCCTCAGGACGGCGGTGCTCCGCCAGGGACGAGCTGGGCTGGTTGGCAGAGGGGCCAGACCTCGCTGTCTGCGAGGGGCTGGCCGATGGCATCGGTCTGGCAGGTCACAGGTTTGCATAGGGCAGTGCAGGAGTGCAGGGAGCCGTGGGTTGCATGACTCTCATGGCGTGGAGAAGACCCCAGCCAACAGAGCAAGCCAGAGGCACCTCCAGAGCCTCCTAGCTGAGGTTCAGAGTGTGTTTTTCCCCTTGTCTTTTTATTTGTACCCTGTCGGCCCAATGAATACCCATGGGAGAAGTGAGCTCTACCACTTGCCCTCTGTTGCTCCATGTTTTTTGCTTTTTCCCCACTGGCCATCACCCTCTTCCTTTTGTTCATTCACTTTGCCTCTCCTCCCCACTTTGTGAAGGGCGGGAAGGTGTTTTCTTAAGGAAAAGCTAATGTCCGTAGGCAGATGCATGGGGACAGTGTCATAGGAGGGAAAGCAGAGAACCTCTCCGTAACCCATATCCAGCCTCCATCTGTCTTTAGCTCGGGGCTCTCTGAGCTGGATGTGGTACCTTCTGGTGGGTTTCTCCTCTGTGCACCTGCCTCTCCTCGAGCCCGTGGGAGACTTGCAGCACTTGCAGCAGGTGGTAGCAAGGAGTTTCCCAGGCCACATGTCTGACACAGCGCTGCAGGCTGTGATGGTCGATCCCACAGGGTGCGCAGAGGACTCAAAAGTGATGTCTGACATTTCTATTGCCAAGGCTGGTTGTGTGACCTGTTAGTTTTGTGCTATCGCACTCTTTAATTAGGAGTTAAATATCTCCCAGTTCTCCTCATGAACGTCTTTCGTAGTCCTTGGGTGTAAAGGATCCACAAGATTTTATAAGGTTGTCTCTACTGTGGATACAGAGCATGGGTGACTACTTCTTCAGGCAGATTTCAGAGTATCCAGGTGCATCTTTCTTGCATCTCCAGAAGGACGTTTCTCAGAGCTTTGCAAACACTCTTCCCAAGTCCCTTTTCTGCTGAGACCTCTCTGCAAACACAGTATCTCAGTGGCTCACACCTCTTCTCCTACAGTGAGTGTTTTCTCCCTTTGAATTCCCTTCACACTTTTTTTTTTTTTTCCTTTTTTTTTTTTTTTTTTCTCCCAGGCTCGATGTTCCCAAACTGGCCAATTTCTAGGGTGGCCTCTGGAGTATTTTGTGTCACCTACAATTACATTTCCAGCTGACTGGATAGCCACAAAGTGCTGCTAGAGCCAGTGGTGGCAGCTGAGTCTCAGGTCTCATGCTTTATTCTTGCCTCTCCCACGCAACAGATAGCTCTTTTCTCCCGGTATAGCACGTATTTTGAAATATCTCATCTTCTCAGAGAATCATCAGGTTGGTTTCTGGGCTTGCAAATAACCTCTGCCAGTTCCACTATACTGAAGAGTTTGATTATTATTTTTTTTAGATTTTTTTGGACATTGTAGGTTAATGCCAAATATACTTATTATTTCATCATCTACTACCACATATATCATCAGATACCCCAAATCCTCAAACTCTTCTAGCTGTTACATAAAAAAGAAGCTCTTTCACCACTGCTGACTTGCTTTCTACTTTTATTTATTTTGTGATTAGAAGCAAGACATTTTAATACTATCCAATGATCCTGTCAGGCTCTTCAGTGTAATGAGGGCAGTTTCTCTCATCTCTCTGTAACCCATGTTTTGGGGGTACCGTTTAGGTGCCTACTAGCAAATTAAACAGCTCAGGGATTGTCCTTTAGTCCAGCGCCATGTGGCATCTTGTAACTCATGTCACACAGCCAAGGCCAAAGCAGAGTCCAAAGTGCCCTGAGGATGTGGCATGGGGGACTGGGTTGGCCTCAGCCAAAATTTTGCCTGGACTGCACCAATGGTTTAATGATGGAGATTTGAGGCCCTGTTTAACGTGTGCTTATGCCCTCCATAATTTTCTGGTGTAGATGAAGCCACTTGCTCTCTGCTTTTGCCAGTTCACTGCGGTGTTGCTGCAGCAATGCAAAAGACACAAGCACAGTTGCTGGGGGAAAGCAAAAGTTTTTGTGGCAAGAAAAGGGAAGACAGGGGTGTTTTGACAAATGTCTCCTGAGAAAAGCTTCTCCACTCTGAAGCTGACCAGAAACCTCTCATAGATATTGAGGATGGGCCAAACATTTCCCTTTTTTATTTTTTTCTTTATAAGGTGACCTGTATTAAAATTACCATCCTGCTCTTTCAGTGCACCATTAAACGGGGAGTAGCTGTAAGGGGAACAAGCCTCATGCACACATAAATGAAGGGCAAGAAGAATTACATATTTTGTAAGGAGACCTATAACTATATGATACCCTAGTGTATTTCCAGAAGGAGAAATTTAATTGTAGGCAAATAAAATGGGCCTAATGGGCATAAGCACATACTGCCCATCCGTGGGAGGAATTTTGGAAAATCTTACTGGAAGGTGTCTCAACATTTTTTGGATTAGTGCTGGAGCAGTCTGTTTACTCATAGCATTAGGCCAGTAGCTGTATGATGGAATAATAAATGCATGATATTATTTGTCTCTCTAAGTGTTCTAGAAAGTTCAGCTGTGTCCCAGGATCCCTATTTTATGCAAGTTTGATTTGAAAGCCCATTGAAATCTCAGGAAAATCTAGGAATTCATCTTCCTTGTCTCCAGGCAGTAGAGGTGTAGGAGACCTACACAATCCCCACTTGCTCCAGGCGCCCTTTGTAGTCAAAGCAGGGAAGTCAGCAGGTCTTGGGCGTAATTCTGGTGACCTATTTTAGGGACTAAGAAATTATATCCCATTTCCATGGACCGTATGGGCAGCCTGGATGATGAGCTCAGGTGTAGATGTCTGTGCTATAGCTGTTAGCATTTAATTAGAGGACTCACGGGGGTTTGGGGCAGGGTTCACTTGCGATAACTGAGATTGAAACCTGACAAATTATAACATTGGCAGCAGCGGTGTAACTTAAACGGAGGATGATTTCTGTGTGTCCTGGTTCTCACGAGCCTGCCGAAACACAGCATGGGAGCTGCCCCTGCCTGGTAGCTGTTGGTGTGAACCACCTGGCTCCACGCTGGTTATTCACAATATGAATTTATTTAAATTCCTCATAGTAGCAAGCAGACAAACCAGAAACAGCATACATGTTTTCCTCCAGGAAAAAGACTCCAGACTGTGAAACTTCCTGTTGACAAGACAACTTCCTGCTGTTTCGGAGGAAAGGATTATTCAGAAATGTATGTGACTTCTGCCAGTGAGGGCATGGACAAAGACTGGCTTTCACGACAACCACAGGCTGGTGGCGTTTTCAAGGTGAATGGCTCTTCTAGAGACTATTTATTTATTTTCTTTCTTTTTTTTCCTGTCCTTCGTTTAGATAGCCGAAGAGTTGGAGAGGTGGGAAGCAGGACAAGGGTGGTAGAACATCAGTCATTTAGTATGCTAAGTTATTGCTCAGAGTTTTGCTTCCTATTGCAGGAGAGGAAAGATGATTTTTTTAGAGGTATAAAAAAGCTGTTTTAAATAAGTGCTACACTTCCATGCGGACACATGTCGAAGATGCATCGTCAGCTGTGGGCTTAAGGCCTGGCAGTATCTGAGGAGGGGCTCTGTGGGGAATGGACTATGGCCTGTGATTATTTAACTTTGGAGAAGTAGCATGGCTTGAAATTACTGGCCATGACGGGCTGAGGTTTACAAAATACAGTAAGGTATCAAATTCGGCACAGTCCATCGGGCAGGAAGAAAAGTGCTTAGAGTGATGAATTATTGCACTTACCTCTGTTTTTTTTCTCCCTCTCTCTTACTAGATAACTGGACTAGGGGTCAAAGGAATCCCACCATATCCATTTGCAGGTTAAATATTCACCCCTAAGAATGGATTAAAGAGGACTGATCGAAACAAGACGAGCTGGAAGGTCTTAAAGTGGTATTTGGCATCTTTTGCTTTAGACCTGTAACACTACTGTAATCTGCCATCAGGAAAAGAAGGAAAACTACTGAAATACCTGGAATATTTTAAAACTGATTATTTTTTCCATTAAACTCCGTTACTTTAAATAGTTTCTGGTACTTTTCCTGTTGTGCTAAAAAATTCTCACCCTAAAAAACTTTTGAATATTGTAAATTTCTTCAATAGTAAACTAATCTCTTTTAACATCTTGTGTTTTTATTGTTTATTCTCCTGTCTCATTTGTGATTTATGCTATATTGATTTAGTGTTTAAACTACTTGTAGTTCCTCCTTTACACAGCTTCAGAGTTTCTCATAAAATATTCATTTGTGGTTTTATTGCTCTTTTAACTGGAACCTCATTTGTCCCATGAAATTCTCAACAAGTGAGTCCTTAATACTCATTACTGCATCTGCAGCTTTATTTTTGCATTACATTTTTGAGTGTCGCAGCTGGGGACGTGCTTAAGTTAACGTGGGTTAGCTGGAGCCTTCATCATCTCTCCCCACTGCGTGTCGTTAATTACTAATTTTGCCATGTATAAAAACAAAAGTTTTGAGAGCAAGGGCCATATCTTTGTCCATTCACTGAGGGTCTCTGCTTGTGTAAGTGCCAGGCTTGTTCATTGGGTTCCACTTTTGCTGGTAACTTCAGGTCTGTCTGTGCTAAAAAACCCTGTAGCGTAGCTCAGCTGGTTTTTAAGCTGCAGATTTTGCTCTCAGCACACTGCAGGTCTCCATGCCAGGGCATCCCGGCCAGCAGGTGAAATGTCTTTCCTGACCCTGCTCTGTTGTCTTAGCCCACCGATTGCACACGACGGAGCGTGTGGCCACGGGTCTGCTCTGCAGTTAGCCCCAATTACTGGTACCTGATGATTTCGCCCTGTGTTTCTGCACTCCCTGGAGTAACTTCCTGCGGCACCTGCTTGTGTCCCCTCTGCAGCTGAGGGTCTAGGGGGTGAGATGGAGCCACCAGCTCCCCGGATCACACCAAGGCCTTGGTGCCGCTGCAGAACAAGAGGTGTGGGAGTCACTTGGCTTTTCAAACCACGCGGTGACACGGACGAAGGGAAGGTTTTAAGCAGCCCTCCAGCAGTTGGGGTTGGAAGATGGGATGTGGAGCGATGAAGGAAACTGGGGGTTGCTCCTCTCTGGGGGGCCCCCCATGCCTCCGCTTCCTCAGTGTGGTACAAAACAGTCCCAAACACAGTAGAGGGAAAGTTTATGAATTGATGGACATGGAGAATTTGTCAAATTTAGGGCTTCAATTACATGAAGTCATAAGTCTAGCGATAATTGAAATTGAATGCATATTCAGATTTACCTTAGAGATGTGGCAGAAAATAAGTAGGTGCAAGCACTTAATAAGCTCTCTGTATAATCACTATCAAGTTGCATACATTTCTGCACTTCAATTTGTACTTCTCTTTATTTGGAAAACAAGGATTCCTGCAGTGGCACAAGTACCAATAACAGAGCAGCACTAAAATGCTAAATGTAGCAGCCAGCATTGATGCACTTTGGTGCTGCAGCCTGTGGTGCTGCAGGTGTGGATTGAGAAGGGGAGAAAAAGGATCTTTTGTGTTCCCCTCCTTGCTCCTTCGCTCTTTATCCATCTCACTTTTCCCGTGCCATGGCCAAGGAGCGCTGCTGCCCACTGAGGTGGGGTTGGTGTTACCTCTGCGGCTTTGGATATGGAATTTCCATAGGCTTGTGGCAGAAATAGTGAGATGGGTATGACTGGAACTGCACGTGTGGGGGTGAGAAAGCACAGGAAGAAACTGCAGCTGAAGTGTTAAAACAGTGGCCTGTGTTGATGGCAAGTGACATCACTTTCAGTTAATTATAGAAGATGTGTCCTATCTGAGAGCAAAGCCCATCACAGCGCAGGGGCTTCTGACTAGGATACCAGCCACTGACCACACACTGATGGCAATAAAGTGATCTGTGTCCTGGCATACACTGAGGGGCGTCTTTTTTTTTTTTCCTCTGTTAGCATGCTGAAAGATACAAGCAACCTCTCATACGCATAAGAAAGATCTGCCCAAAGATTAGTTTGTCATCACGAGCCAAGAGGCACCTTGACACAGTGAGGACCCGGTGGCTGGAGGCCTGCTCTCACCAACAACAAATTGACAGGAACAGGCCCAGGGAGTTGCATTTTGAGTATTGCCAAAACACGCTGGGCTCATAGATGGCATCAGCCTCCGCTGCAGAGGCCGGAGCTGCTTGCAGTGCTCCCGCCCGGAGGAGCCCAGACAGGCGCCACGGGTGTTTTTTGACTCCAGTCTCATGACAGAGTGTTGGATCCAGCAAACCAGGACTGAGCAATCGCCTCTCCCGGGCCTTTTGCTCCTGCCTGCCAGCTCCCTCATTTAGGAAGGCTCCCTGGCTTTTTGTTTAATCCCTCATTTATTAATGAAACGTACTTCTTTGATCAAAGACTTGTGCTGATTTCAATTAGGGTTGAGCAAGAACGCAATGACAGGAAAAGCTGTATCAGGAGGAGTAGCTGCTGCGCCCTGGAGGGTTTTTTTTCTCCCTCGTGACCAAAATCTATAGTCATAGGTGAAGCGTATTTATTCCCAACCAACCTGGAGAAAACTCAAATAATCCTTTGCAGGCAAAATAGCTCTACCAAAATAAAAGCAGAGGCAGTATTGACTGCCCGAGGAGCTCCAGGTCTGCCTAGATCAAGAAGTGCGGAGACATCAGCACCTTCCTACAGGAGGGCAAAGCCGCAAGAAGATAAGTCTCCACTTGATTTTTGGACAGCAGCGTTGGCTGGGATATTGCCAAGGTGAGTCGTTATATGTGTGCCTGTCTGGGGCTTTGTAATCGCTGTGTCTGCATTAGCTCTAACCGTGTCTGCTGTTGTCTCCGGAAGGGGGGGAAAGAGAAATGCAGGAGAGGACTGTGTCTAACTGAAGAGTGACTTTAGGTGATCAGGGCATTAAGTGACATGCAAAGCAAAGCCATCGGAGTAGCCAAGGCTAGGATGGATACCCATGGGGGAGAAGTTGCACGAGGGTAATTTGGGGAGTTCTGAGGAAAGAGGTGAGGAAGGTGAGGAAAAAATTCCTCAGGGTTTGCAATGTTGCACTGGCACATTCAGAGGTATTGGCTGAGCATGTGTTATAGAAGACAAATACAATGTTTTTGCCAACTACATTAATATATATGCTATGCAATGTATTTATGAACTGCATTACTATCTATATTGCACTAATGCCTTGATATGCTATCCCAGTTACTTTATGGTTATAAAAACTAGGGGCTATAGAAGAAAACAGTAACAGTTGACTCAGAGGGGACAAAAGGAGATGGAAAGGAGAGAACAAGAAAGCCAAGAAGAAAATACTCCAGAGGAGCAGGAAGAGGAGGGCCACCTTCAGCCAAGTCTGTAGAAACTTTCTGTTTTGTGACCAATAAAATTAGAAACCAATGAACTCAATGCTGTGGGTAGGCTATCTAATTTGAGGGAATAATTAAAATAATAATTGGCTGGCTAGGAAAAATTGCATACACCTGTTGCTGAAGATTTGCGGCACTCAGCCGGAGAAGTCTACAAAGCTCTGAGATGTGTCTCCTTCTGAAGCAACTGGCCTTGGAGGAGGCAGAGCCGGTCGATGTTTCCAGGGCTTGATGAGGCAGGGAGAGAGGCAGGACGCTGGGAGAACTGGGGGTCTGGGAGCTGCTGGGGTGGGGAGAGCAACCAGGCTGAGTCGGGGGCAAAGTGCGGAGGAGGCCGCTCATGCTGGTCTGGTGCATCTGCAAGGCACCCGTAGCTGTCCGAGTAAACCAGGAGTACGTCCTCCGATTTCCACGGCCACCCGTACGCCTAGTACGAGAAACTATATCACATCTGAGTTGCTCTCCAGTAATGCAGCATACGCATTTTTTTAAATTATATTGAGGTTTATGCTCCATTCTTTGGCAGGATTTTACTTTGCTGTAGAGTGCGGTGGTGGCGTTAGTGAAGGCACCAGATTAAAAGTGTTGAATGAGAAATATGGTTTTACTATTAAATCTCACTCTAGGAAAAATGCTTTGGAAAGTTTTTAATGATTAAAAAAAATCCATTTGTCTATAGTTTTTACTTTTAAATGAAAACTACTAAATTTATCTTAAACAGAATTTTCCTTTCAACTATTTCTACTGGGCAAAAAAGCATTTTGTAGGAAGGAGAGCTGTGAAAAGAAATTCATCCAGGTCTACATGAAATCCCCTTCAAAGTTATCGTTTAGATTAATGAGAGGAAAGCGTAGAGCACTAGGAAAAATTCTGGCAGAAACAGGGAGTTAGAGCTTAAGTTAGAAACGAGGCTCTAGTTTGGGTTGAGAAATGAAGGAAGGCTAAGAAAGGTCCTTACCCTGAGCACAGTTGCTTTGCTCAGAATGTGACGATCGTGGCAAGAATTTGTTATTGAAACATTACTGACTTTTCTATGACTAGAAATATTTGAATTTATCTCCATCTCAGAGGTGTAAGTCTTGACTCCCTGAATTTGAATCTATGATACCTATGAGGGGGTAATATTCAGTCTGCCTCTCTTATTTGCTTATCTGGGGAAAAAATTTCATCTCATGAGCCATCAAACTGAAGCCCGCATTACATGTTTACATGTGTAAAGGAATGCATTTCTCTTGCATGCTGGTTTGGGGCCATTTCCTGGCAGGTGGCTTCTGTCCTCAACAATTTTAGTGGGGTGACTCTCCCTCCCGTCCACACAGAGGCCTCCCCCTGCCGGCGCGCTGCGGCAGGAGCGATGGAGCGGTTCCCTTTTTGCAGGAAAGCCACCAGTGGCCCTGGTGCACTGCCCCGCTTGGCCTCTGTCCCCATGGTGAGCTTTAGCTCACACCTCCTCATACGGAGTCGTGGAGCCCAGTGCGGGGCTGGCAGGCAGGGTCCCCCATCACCTACCTCTGCTGGGTGAGGAAGGCACGTGGCATCTTCCATCTTCACCTCCCACGTACAAAAAGAAGAGCAAACACCGGAGAAGAAGTCTTAAAAGCCAACCAAAAACGTATTAATTTGCTGTCTGGAGCATCCCCAGCGCTCGCCGCAGGTGCCCTGCCAAAGCTCTTCCCTGTGCTGGGAGCAGCCGCGCAGCCCTCGCAGGCGGGGAGCGAGCTTTGCATATGAGAGATGAGGCACCTGCTCAGGTGCCTGAACACCAGAAGGCTGCGGCACAGTTAGGAGCAGAA